TAATTTTTTTAAAACAAATTTCCATCTTTACCGCTATGCATAAAATTCCATTCTTGTCGGATTAATCTGAATTTTTGCATTTGAGGCTAAAATCTAACTACGAATCAATAAATATATATAAAAATAATAATTTGTTAATTGAAATTTCAATTAATCGATCGCTGCAGGATGGATCTCTCTCAATCTCTCGTTCTCTCTAATTTGGTAGTCATTGCATATAAATACTATCAAATTAGAAAAAGAGATCCATTCTACATCCGTCTGTTAGCCCCAACTGTGCATCGCAGCCATGGTGCGGAGTCTCAACAAAAAAATAAAAGAAGTCGTCAGGAATTTGACCTGGGCCCAGGATGGAAATCTTTCACATTGTCCCAGTGGCGTCGCCTTAACCTCAATCTACCTGTGCACACACTCGCAAAGCGTTAAAAATATATCAAAATATTGATTGCACTTCAGTAAAACTATGTGCATTTTGCAATCGTTTTGAATATAGCAGGGCTGGTAGCGAGTCACTAAAAAGTCTCTTTTTTTAAGGCAGGGTGTCTACTCATCTTTCTAAATAAACATAAACAAACTGCGGGAAAGTAAGGGAAGTTAATACGCTGAAAATATGGGAGCTTACTGGAAACTTTAAGAACCTCAAAGCGGTTCTTTTAGCATCCGAAAATTTCCAGGAACTTTTATGAAGTTCCTAGAATTTCAGACAACTTCACAGGTGTCAAGCGAACATGAGAAATATAGAAAATATGAGGGGTATTGTGCAATTTTTTTAAGAAGTTCCAAGTACCTCAGAAAAGCTAGATCAAGAGATCTTTGGAGAATTTCAGATCTTAAGAGCAGTTTCCGTAGCTTTAGTCCAGAATGTTGGAGCAGTTTAAAGATCTATAATCGTACATTTAGAAAAATTCAGGATAGTTCCATGATGTGCTGAAAAAAAAAATCGAGAACCCTTCAGATGTTCCGATTCAGGGATGTACAGAGGCCTTCAGAGAAATTATGAAAACTTCAGAAAAATTTCAGGGAAATTTTAAGGTGTTTACATGAATTCCATTTATTTCCGAGCAGAACTGAGATCTTCGATTAAATTTAGATTTATCAAAGATTCGGGAACATCAAGACAGATTAGAGAATCAAAGGGGTAGTTCCAATAATTTCAAGGAATTGTAGAAACCTTTAGGAAGTTTTGAGAAACTCAGAGAATCCCCGGAAACTTCAGCAAAGCTCCGAGAGAATTTCTGGAACGTTATTAAAATTATATGGACATCCGGGAAACGTGAGAGTATTTTAAGGGTGTTATATCATGGAGATCTCAAGAACTTAAAAAAATGCGAACATTTAGCTTAGTTGATTAGAGAACATCAACGAAGTTCCATTAATTAAAAAAAAAATGCGAGAACTTTTGGCAAGCTTCAAAGAAATCCAGAGAACTTTTAATACATTTAGATATTTTTAGTTGGTTTTATGAAATTCAGCGAAGTGCCGAGCAATTTGAGAACGATCAGATAGCTTCAGAATAATCCCATTAACTTAAGCAAATTTGAAGTTTCTCAAACAAAAAAGAACTGCAAAGCAGTTTCATTAACTTCAGGACAAATTTGGGAACCTCAGAATAGTCCATTGAAATATACCTCAACATTTCGATGAAGCTTCGAATTCAATTTTCTTTTATTTTAGATTTACTTTTGAATCTCACCCCTTCCCTTGGAATTCTACTCACATTGAAAGTCTCCTAAGAATTCATTGGCATTTCTCCTCACAAATTCTTCTCATAATTTGTTTGGCAAACTCTCCTGAATTTATTTTCCGAATTCCATTGAAGATGTTCTGGAGTTATTCTCAGATTTAATTGTAATCCTCCTTTTAGTATTTTCAAAAAGATTCCAAACGGCGCCGGTAGTGTAGAGGTAAGCGTGATTACCTCTCACCCCAGCAGGCCTGGGTTCAATCCCAGTCGGCGCCGCCGGGATGTTCTGAGGCATAACATCTCTGATCACGCCTTCCTTCGGATGGGAAGTAAAGCCGTTGGTCCCCGGTTCATGAGTTGTGATGGGTCGATATGTAGGGTCCAGGTGTGGGAGCTGCCTTCCTGGCACGTCGGTAGCATTGGTGCTCAGCACGGGAAACAGCTTTGTTTGTAACTCACACAGTCGCGCGTGCCGAGACGAACTTGGAATGCGTAGGCATTGTTTTCATTTTCTTCTGTCGTTTCGCTTTTTCTCATAACCGTACCGCAGAAGTATTCACTGTTTTCGTTGTGCTTTACATCATCAGCAGCGAGTGTTATGTTTTGCCTGTAAGCAGCGACCATTACTGGTGATTGTTGTTAGCCATGGCTCTACCTCTCACTGCGTGACAAAACGTTCTGTCAGCGATAGTCGGTTGATGAGTTGACGAGTGTCGAGTGAGTGTCATGATATTTTGCATCACTGGGCACAGTGATATTGGTAAAATGAGTGGTGTTAGACGCCGCTTGATATTATGTGAATTCACGGTATAATCAATAGTGAAAGTTCATACATTATAGTCATATCTTCTATCAGGCGTTTGCAAATAAGTTAAGCAGAATTAAAGTAGTAATGATATAGATAGTACATCGACGAATTACTGGTGAAATTCAATATGACCGACTGTAATGCTGCTCTGACTACATTTTATGTGAACCAGTTCGTGGCACAAGACCGAACATCAGTCATGCAATGAGTTTCAGAAGTCCCCAAACCATGACGAGAAACAGAATACGGTCGCAAAAAGCCGTGCCGGAAGTTGTACGACCAGAAGTTAACGAAACCACACTGTTGCGTAATGGATGACAAGACATATGTGAAGGCAGACTTCAACCAGATTCCAGGAAACCTGTATGTGACTGCCAAGGATAAGTGTGATGTTCCCGAGTACCTCCGGATACAGAAAATGTCGAAGTTCGCCAAGAAGTTCTTAATTTGGCAAGCGATTTGTACTTGCGAAAAGCGGAGTATGTACACCTTTCATTATCGCAAGTACCATGAATGAACAGGTGTATTTGGAAGAGTGTCTCCAAAGGCGGCTTCTCCCTCTCCTGAAGGCTCACGACGGTCCGACGATCACGAAGGACGTGCTAGAGTGGTATAAGGCGAATGATGTCGATTTCGTGCCGAAAGATCTGAACAACCCCTCAAACACTCCGGAACTGCGCCCTATAGAAAAAATACTAGGTCATTATGAAGGAGCACCTTCTAAAACGACCTCAAGTGGTGAATAATTTAGAAGAAATGAAGAAAGCATGGGTTAATATCCAAAAAAAAACTGTCGATTCTGAGGTCGTGCGGGATCTTATGGCTGGGGTTAAGGCCAAGATTCGCGCATTTGGATATAAAGGCGAAATGAATTAAATGAATGATGCCAAAACTAACATAAATTGTTTCTTTTTACTCCCTGAATATTTGGTGATAATCGGATTAAACACTCGAATTTTGAGAATGAATTTTGTGTGCGGATTTTAAACGATTTGCTTTTATTATCAAACTGGGCGGCGCCGACTGGGATTGAACTCAGGCCTGCTGGGGTGAGAGGTAATCGGGCAGTTCTCCGTGTTTTTTTATTGTATGAGTTTTTATTTATGAAAATGGAATCGGATTTTTTCCCTTGTAGTTGTGCGATGCTGATACTGATTGCTTGCGGTTACAGCACCTTATTTGAAGCGTGGTGCTCGAAGAATTTTCTCACGTTGAGTGTTCAAAAATGCACTATCATGGAAAGATTCCATCGCAAGATAAAACCTATTGCATTCAATTATACGACCGATAACCAACCTCTGCAGCGTGTTGACAACGTTTGTAATCTACGTACATCTTGACATCATCTGCATAGAATGACCGGCAGCCAGTTGGAAGTATCAACCCGATTTCGTTAATGAATGTCGTGAATAGCAGCGGTCCCAAATTGCTGCCTCGAAGAACACCTTTTGTTAACAATGTAAAGCCGTCGATTTCTCGCAAATAAAAACTCACTCCTCCTAATAACAATGCTAGCTGGTACAGGAAACAGTCCTTTACCTATTGGTGTAATTAATTTTCATGAGTGAGCTTTTATTTGCGAGAAATCGACTGCTTATGCCAATGTTTACAAATTCAATTACGCTTCTTTGAAATGTTGGCACTGAAATCATAAATCTATCCAAAAGATGCTCTATGATATGAAGCAACATACTGAAGAAAATGAAATTGTAAGCTATTGTTTACCCCATGTTTGGAATACGGTCTCGGAGGGCTAAAGCCGATCTCCTTCGAAATCATATTTTAGAATGAATGTAGGGACATGAGGGTGAGAAGTCCCTTCCTAACATATTGTTGAACATATAATTTGAATAGAGACGTTCCACCAAAACCCCTTGTTCCCTGAAAGCAATACCACTTATGATCTGGCCATAAGCCTCGTAGGCATGTCTATGGAGAGGGCTGTTTTTTTTTCAAGTTTCACAAAAAATGTCTGTAAATTATGCCCTTCCCTCCCTCAGAAAAAGATTAAATTTAGCCTAAATTCTAACCTTTTTTATCGTTTTCTTCATTGTTGCAGACGACTAAGCACTCGCATAAAGAGGTGCTGAAGTGAGTGTATGCCATACTTGGGAATACGAACCTAAAATTTCGAAGGATATATTATAAATATTAACAGCAAAGCGATTACAGCTTTTCCCTCCGTTACTATTTCCCGTAGAACACTGCAAAATAAAAGTGTTACATCTGTGATAAATTCAACTAAGCAGCATCCCAATGTTCTTGCCCTGGGGGATCTAAACTCCGTCCACGTGAGAAAAAGGTAAGATTTTTTTCTGCTTTGTGATGGTTTGTTGTCGTTTTACAGTTTGTTATTCGTTGAAGGACATTGGTGCTCCATCCCATTGGATTGGTACGATATCAGTTCTTGGCGATTACGAATGCTTTAAAAACGTAAGTTTCGAATAGGTAATGGTGCTTATGAGACAAGCGTAACATTCGCAGTTACATTCATTGCAGATCGTAAAGATGATTAAAAGTAGCAGCAAAAGTCCTTACATCGCGTTGGTCCGATTAAGATCGGATCTAATGATGAGCGGCGCCAACATTCCGACAGTGTTTCACCGCCAACAGAACGGTGATCGATCATTAAAAAATCATGCTACTACTGCTGACACAAGTTCTACTTCCACCACATCAAGCATGGAAGTGGCCATCCCTTATTCGAACAAGTCTGACTATATCTACTTGACACAATCAACGGACAGCGGCCGCAAACGCAGCCTTACGCTGATCACAAGATTTCCATTGAATGACTTCGACGCCACCGAGGCGCTTGTTAGCCATATTACTGAGCTGATGCGAACCAATAATTCTGTGACTATGAAATGTGATTTAAATGCTTACCTGAGTAATGTTAGTATTAGCCGTAATCTAGCACTAGATCAATGTACTACTTTAAGCCGAGTTCCGCAAAGAACGTTCAACGAGTATAAAACTGTCGATGTGTCATCATCATGTCTCCGACACAGCTCGTACACGAAATTTGACGATTTGCTGGCGATGATCGCCAACGAAAAGGAACTGTTGAAACGTGCTGCACTAGACTCTCGAGGAATTTCACAACCACGCTTGCGGCTGTGTGGCGGTGGAGAAGATTCACTCAACAATGGAACCAGTGCCTGGGGAACGCCTCCAGCAACTGCCAACAATACTAGTGCTTGGGGAATGTCAAATCAACAACCAGCACAGGCATGGGGTGGAACACCCGGAAATAGCAACGCGAACAATAACAGTAATAACAATAACAATCAACCACCAACGAGTCAATCGCAACGGCAGCCATCACAATCACAGGATCAGAATGCAAATAAAGCACCACAACAGGTCCCAAATACAGCTGGCAGCAGCGCACCGAACGCATGGAACCGTAATCCGACGCAGCCCACGGGGCTAAATCCGAGCATTGCCAATAATAATCTACAGCTCCAGCAACAGCAACAACAACAGCAGCAGCAGCAGCAACAACAACAACAACAGGTATGAACAATCGAGTCTAAAGGGACATTTGGCATGAAGGACGGACCCTTGGCATAATCTTTAAAAATAGAGCAGTAATAGACAGAATTCCCCACAAACAAGACATAACATTCTACAGGCAGACCCCCTCTACTAATCGCAAATTTGAGTGACAAGCAATTTAGTGCCACTCGTACTGGCTGTAATCGCATATCAGTCCCATATAGATTTTCGTCACTATGCACTTCCTATTGGCATCGACAGAAATAAAAAAGCAACCCAAAATTAAGTTCATTTCACTCATATATTCACTCATCTTCCGTACGATAACCCAAATTTGAGAAAAATGCTTAAAGTATACTTTTTAACCACGGCAAAAAAAAGTAGAAGAGTCTGTCTGGTTGACGTAGGACCGCGTTTGGTCGGTACCAGGGCCGTTTTAATCACTCTTGGGGCCCCGCCCACATAAACGCGAATCATAACTTGACCATACCGAAAATGGTAAAAAATTGTTTATAATCCCTGCTAAACTTTAACTGAAATGGTTATGAAACTTTACATGAACGTTTGTGTGGTAAAGTTTTAACCTTTTTACTTATGGTTTGAGAACTTTAATGGTAATGGTTATGGTAGTCAGTAAGGTCCAATAATGGTTTTATATTATCGGTCGACTTAACGTAGAATATATTGCGAATTGGTCATCAGTAATTTACAGAAAACCTATTCGCGATATATTCCACATAAAGCTGATCGATGTTACAAAACCATCTTATGAACCTTACCGACTACCATAACCATTACCATTAAAGTTTTCAAATCATAAATAATAATACATAAGGTTAAAACTTTATCACACAAACGTTCATGTAAAGTTCCATAACCATTTCAGTTAAAGCTTAGCAGGGATTATAAACAATTTTTAACCATTTTTGGTAAGGTAAACTGGTTCGCTTTTATGCGGGCGGGTCTATTTTTTATTGCGGGGCTCCCATAATTTGATAGCAATTTTCAAATTCTAGCACACCTGAAATAAAAATAGGTGCTTGCGGCAATCCTTTTTCATTTAACACAGGTTAGGAAGCTGCAAATCAGTGTTCAAAAATCTCATGCTGGGATATTTTCTTTTGTTCGAATTATATTTTTTGCCACTAAAATCGCTTGGTTATTATGATGTTTCCTGAAACATGTTGTAAGATCCATACATTTAGTTTTGTAAGCTCCACCTCTTCTTCTTCTTTTTCGCATTTCAAGCTTATTGCGTGCTCTCAACTTAGTTTTCTAAATGCACTTCCACAGTTATTAATTGAGAGCTGTCGATGCCTGGTACCAATGCATGAATTTTTATATTGCGTGGCAAGAACAATGATACTCTATGCCCAGGGAAGTCGACAAAATTTCCAACCTGAAAGACTCCCTCGACTGGACTGGGAATCGAACCCGCCGCCTTACTGACTAGGCTATGAGGCCCCTAAGCTCCACCTCTTCATATATAAATGTATGAGATAATAAAGTAATTACAAATACTTTTTAATCCTTACATAAGTCATTGAACAGTATTTTCAACTTCTTTATGACCAGCTGTGTTGAAATTGTCCTAGAATATGATTTTCCTACCATTGCCTAGACATCATAGGTTTATAATTCATTCGAAATTTTTGATGGATAGGATGTAGCATCCTACCTACCACCTACCATGCCAAGGATCAGTGTTCGAATTTCATGCTTGACTGTTTTTTTAATTATATTTTTGCCACTAAAATTTATTGGTTATTAATTATGATGTTTTCTAAAGCATGCTATAAGACCAGTATTTAAATTTTAGTATATTGTATTGGAGTGATCGACTGTAATGACTAACCTAAGCAAGGCCAAAAGGCAAGCGTGTTTGGTTTTATAAGCTCCGCTTCTTGCGCTTTTTTGGTTGTATTTTGAAGTAATTTAAAGTATGATTGATTCTTTACATAAGTATGTAAACAGTATTTTTAACTTCTTCAAGACAAGCTGTTATGCTTAACTAACTGGTCTAATGTTCTTCTGTAATCTGACAGTATATGTGAGAGATTTCCTTTTCTTTTCATGTTATAAATTGTATGATTTATTGTTTTAAGTTTTCAAAGCTTTATTTTTCTAATTTAATTTAATTTAATCTAATTTAATTTCTAATCAACGATTAATTTCTTGAAACATATGAATTTCTCTGAATTGAGGGCCCTGGTACTATCCCACCCCCACCATCGCCCCTGGTTGGTACAATTATTTTTAAAACTCATATATTTCAAATGGTGGCCGGTTGTGTGAAAAGGGCCGTATCCATGCTTGGCATGCACAGTTGTACACACCAACTGCTCATTTGTTAATAACTTTTCACTCAGATGTTGAAATTTATTTTTCTTTAAAGTAATTGATAGATTAGGCTCATAGTTTACTATAGATATGCGAAGATTAGGTAAAGCTTAACATTTGAATCAACACTAATCAATTTAACACTTAAATTTCGAGATGTGTAGTGAGCATTTCTCACCTCATTTTTACAACGCAAAAACAAATACAGTTTACTACTAGCATTAAAATTTTAATTTTTTTACATATCTATAACAAGCTTACACTCTACTCTATCTACTGCTTCAAAAAGAACTATGTTCCGTCAACTGTGTGCAAAGTTATTAGCAAATGAGCAGTTCGTGACCAAAACTGTGTATGCCAGCATGGCCGTATCAATATTGGAAATGAAATATTGAATATCGAATGGATACCAACCGTAAGAGCAAACCCGTTAAGGAAGGCCACCGTACACATTTTGGGCAATGAATGATTATTGGAACCTGTAATATCATGGTTTGGAAGTGCCATCAGATGTTTTATGATAATATTACTATTATTGATCCCTAAAAATTAAAATGATTTTATTTCGGGCACGTTACCATAAGCATCAATCTGGTAAACTTAAAGTGACATTTCTATCTGTTTGATCAACAAATATATTTTTGAGAGCAGTTTCTATGTTTTTACTACCTTCGACTTGATATTAGTCAGCAGCAAAATGTATAACAACTTTTTGTGTCTAGTACAAAATCATTACAAAAATTACTGGATTAGTGCTGTTTCTTTGTTTTATTTACATAGGCATTTTATTCGGCATGCCAGACTATTTTCGGCAACCCAAATTGCAACACTATTTTCACTGGATTTTCTTACGAAAACACTTCGCTGAATGCATGCAAACGATTCTTTATGCTTTCAGCTTCAATTTGACTATATTTTTACCACTGAGAAAAAGCAATCTAGCAAGGTTTTCTTGAAATGAAACACACGCACTACAAATTGTTGCTGATTTCGAGTTGCCGATAATAGAACAGCAGATTCACATGCAGTTCAAATGGAACGGTTGCCGAAAAAAAACTGATTGCCGACAATACTCGCTCTCACTAGAGAAGATTGGAGCTTTGTAAAAGCGTTTCAAAACAGTTTTTGACAATTCTTTCGACTGAAATTGTTAGAGCAGCTGGCAGCAAAAGATTGTAAACAAACCAATACTGCATATGTGTGCGTTCCTTAGAGAAAAAAGCTATAGAAAGAAGGTTGCTGCTTAGGTTGCCGAAAATACGTAAATTCCCCTACCTAATTTAAATATTTATTTATTTATCAATCTATGTAGACTAGTACAAATAAATATACAAATTTGTTTTTCTTGAGAACATTTAAAAAAAAATATTGTCTGCTATGATTCCGTATGGAGTTAAAATATTGTTTTAGTTTATGCCGAGGCATTGAAAAGTCAATGGTTGGTTTCGCAGTATTGAACCATTATTGGCGTAATTACGGCGGGCTAGTGGGGCTATATTCCCCCCTAGAATTTTAACTTTAATTACTTATTTTCCATACACATCAAACTTGTCCACTAATTGCTAATTAAGAAGTTTGAAAAATAAATTTAGCCCCCCTTATGATTTTTCCTTAGTTACGCCAGATTGACCCATTCCATGAAGCTCTTCATCACGACTTTTCAACTACATTTCTTATTTTCTGTGTTGTTATTACTTTAATGAGGTTTTCTTTAGATAAAGCTTGACAAACATGTTTAAAATTTTCTGAGTAGTATCAATTCATTTTTATTTAACGGAACATTTCCGCTAGAAAAAAGTTAATGTCGATAAAACGTTATTTTTAGGTCGCGTTGTCACGGTACGAAATTTATTACCTCTAGTAGCATTTATTAGTGATCATATTCATAACTATTGATTGAAAAAAATGTAAATAATTGGCATATTATGAAGTTTATTGCAAGTTTTAAACGAAAGGGTAATCACGGATCGAAAATCTGGAATGAATCTATTGTTCATATCGAATTGAAGATGAAAACTCAGTTAGGGGATACTTGATCCCCGAGGATTTGGTCATACTTGATCCCGAAATGTGAGTGATTCACAGTTTGGGTAGATTTGATCCTCAAAAGTTTGAACTAGATCCCAGTATGTGTGTGTGATAATAAATATCGAAATACACGTTATTAAGAGGGTTGTTGAAAATTTAGGGAACTTGCAACTTTTAAAATGCAATTTTTGACATCTTTTAGAAAAAGTACCTTTTAACTCTTTCGTGACCTCAGGACTCTGGAGCACCATGCCTTTTTTGAAATTGTGAGCTATAACTTTCTGATATTACAATCGGTTTTTTTAAAAATATTATAACATTGTCTGTACTAGTTCTTTTATTATCGTTAGAAATCCAGGCTAATATCTCAAGACACTCCAGAGATACTGAAATTGATTATGCCAAAACAATCTGTACGGGAAAGGGTTAAGATTAGTATAATCTCGTTCGAGACTTGAGGATATTTACTAGACTAACATTTGAAAAGGGCGTAATTCAAAAATGACTATATCGAGAAAATCGCTTCCGAATTTTGATGAACTAAAAATTAATCCGTTTGCACGACTTTCCATTTTCTGGATGATTATATAAGCTTGACGTATAGTTAATGGTGAAGTCTATCATCATGCATCACTAATGCCCTGATAATTTCTTACATGTTGTTACCCCCGGTCTTCTTTTTGTTCGTTGTTTACACGTGAAATATCAATCGGATGCATTTCAAATGAATCGCGCGTGACTAGATACTACGGAATCAGTACGCTTGGCATATTAAAACAATATAATTCATTGTTCTGAAATGTTTTTGATGATTTGAAATGATATTTTCTTCTGCTTTTTCGTGTTTATCGAGTAGTTTGTGAACTGTTCTCTCTATATGTGACAAAATATGGTTTGTTTACATTTGGACACTTCCGTCCCTTTCAAATGTTAGTCTAGATTTATAAAGTAACGTAAGGAATTTCACTATAGGGAAAAGGACGGTATCGGCACTTTTTAACCAAATATCGATAGGGGGTGAATGAAGTCCTGAGTGCTGATTTTTTGCATGAAAGAGCATCATATTTCAGTGCATCGTTTTGCCAAAAATGAATACTTTGAGACTAAGACTCGATAATAGATAAAACAATAACCGATGCCGATGCGATTTTCGGGTTGGAAAATTTATCGGTGCACTCTTCTATTGTAGGGATGCCTCGTAGCATCGGCCAGCTCGACTACCTGCATGCCCTAATAAAAAAAAAACACTAAACGAATGATAACCCAAATGATTGAACTATTCCACAAATGGTTTGGATTATACCCAGAACACGTCGTTAAAGAAAATAACCATAACAACCATAACTATGATATCAAAATTTAGCCCCTCCCTATAGCAAAAATCAAAATTTAGCACCTCACGCTCGTTCGAGGGTACTCAAAACGGAGTGGGAATTACTAATTTTTATATCTTCATTTGAAACGTCAACGAATGAGTGGTTTAGATTTATAAATTTGAGTAACATCAACTCAACAAAAAATAAATAAGTATGGATCTCAATTATGAGTTTTCAGCTTGTTTGACTGAAAACATAAATCAAAATGTCGTTTGTGAAAAAGTTATACACACCTAGTTCATCTTTTCGGTGTCTGAAAACAAAAATTTAAAATTTTGAAAGAAAACTTGGAGAAATGGAGCAGATTGCAACCACGGTTGATATGGGAACGTATAGAAAATTTATTAGGTATTTGTTTTTTTCGCAGAAAACATCAAGCTATAAAATTATTTGTATAATTTTTGTATCGACAATGTTAGGGAAAAGCCGGCAAGTTTTTAATTATTTGAAATAATGTTTATTATCAACATTAAGCTCTTCGGTGTTATCTACCAAAATGCGGAGTAATCGTTAATGCATACGTAGAAGAGTTGAAAACTCACTTCAGTATTCTGTATCAGTATCAGTATTCTGGAAAGTACCATCTCGGGATCTTCAAATCATATTTAAATTTCAAGGCAACTCCATACAACGATGTTAAAGCTGTAAACGCTATCAATAATGAAATAAAGTCACTTGATTCTTTTTATTTTAACTGGATGTTTTTCGTTTTTACTTCAAACACAAAAGAGAATAAATAAATTATTTTTACATATTTGCTTATTTTTCACCCATTTTACTACATTTTTGATCTAATGGAAATGAGTATAAATTACTCGAACATAAATATATGCCTGTTTCACTCAAAATTGAGTTCTGACTAAGTTACTCAAATTGGGGTAGATACAGTTTTAATGAAATTGAGTGGATATTCACTCAATTTAGAGTATTCTCGAACGATCTCTCTACAGCTGTCAAATGCTTAAAGCCTGGTACGCAGCTCAAAAGAAAACGGAAAAGTAATTTTTGAGGATTATTCCCAAAAGAAAATTTGACAGCTATAGAGATTATAGCGAGGTCTCGTCAAATTTTAAAATCAACAATTATTAGTGTTTATGTTGTTAAAATGTATCCAAAACATCAGTTTTGCAATAAACGCCAACATTATCTAACGGAATAATTGATCATATCAAGGAAAGTGAAATTACATTCAGAATGCGCCACCTTCACGATCACGATACCAATGTAATCAACTTTTCTTTATCGATTTATTTAGAACTGCGTACTGGGTCAAGAAATGCTAAAGAAAAGTAATTTCTTTAGCATTCCGTGTCCTATCCCGTATAGAAAGTAGAAACGTCATTACTTTTTAGCTGCGTACCAGGCTTTAAGTAGTATCACCGAGCTCCGACTTGCTCCACTGTTGGACTGTAATTGATGGTGGATGTGATTTGGCAGAAGCATTTATAGACGAAGATTTCCACTGCTCTTCCATTCTCTTTACTCTGATGTTATCTGCTAGTTCCGACTATCTGGCAGCAACTGATGGTGGAAACGAAATGGCAGACCCTTTTGTGGACGAAAATTACCGCTGCTCTTCCTCTTCCTCTATTCTGGCGTTATCACCGAGCTCCGATCAGATTGACCATATTGCCAAAATGCGCCGTGGGAGGCTAATTTACGCATGGGCTCGAACATGATGTCCGTGCGAGAGAATATAGAATTTTCCCATCCGTCCGCTCTTCTGATTGATTCAAGAAATGTTCATATTTTGTTTGATAAATTTGTTAATTGTTTAACTATTTTCACTACTTGTACTTTACACCAAAAACTGCTGGATAAGTACTCCGTTGAATGACAAATTGCATGACATACTTCCCATAAATGGTTTTGAGAAATAAGCGTTTGAAAACTTTCTCATTTTCGTTACTTACCTCATTTTCGATTTCATAAGGGGCTGTTAATTAACTACGTGGACAGTTTTTTGGGATTCTTGAAGCTATAGCCTGAATTTTTTACATTTTTTCAAGTTTCTGAATAAAAAAAAATTGACCAATTAACTGTCAATAATTGTTGTTGATTCAAACAAAAACAGAAATCTACATGCTTCTGATCAGTGTTGGGAAAAGATCAAACAATCAAATCTCACCAAAGAGCAAGATCACGCTTGATTTTCATAGACAACAATCAACTATCAAACAAATGCGGTTGATATTGCAAGCTGTGATATCGCAGCTCGGAATATCAAGCTAACCAAGCTAACAAACCTCACCAGCTGCCTGTGGGGAGATTGAGATTCCTGGTTTTTGCTTCACACCCGAACGCAACCGAAACTTCCATAACGGCTGGCAGCAGTCGCTTCGTGTCTGCCATCGGCGAAGATAAAAAGAGATAGCATTATTATACCTTCTCTATATAAGAAAACGAATTACAACGGAACCTTTTTTGTGTCGATTCAACTCTCAGCTTCAACTTTGCACTATCAAAGAGCTTGTAAAATCAATATCAAGCCTTTTATTTTGCTCCAATATCACGCGTGATATTGAGAGCGTATGAGAGAGGATAAATATCAATTTGCTAATGATTATGCCATCACTGCTTCTGATATATATAGATCAATGGCCCCGCCTATATTGCATCACGGTATTGTATGTTTAGATCTGAACAATTTAGGTGGGTTGAAGGTGATTGCTAAAAAGTTCAATGCAAAATTTCAAAAGAATACTCGGCCCCATCAAAGTATAGCCTTGTCTTAATAATTACCGTAAATGTTTAATAAAATTACAATTATTTACCAAAAACCGAATCTAATGCACAAGAATTTCAATCGTACTGATTTGTATTTTCATTTAATTCTAGCAGCAACCACCGCAACAACAACAACAACAACAACAACAACAGCAACAGTTAGCTCTGGGCAATAACGGAACCATTGCAGCGAAAAGTCAACTAGAAGTGCTGAGTAATATGCGTGAGGCATTGTTCAGTCAGGATGGTTGGAGTTGTCAGAATGTAAATCAGGATACAAACTGGGAAGTGCCCGGCTCTCCAGAACCGGGAAAGAGTGATACAAATGCCGCATCAGGCGGTGGAGGCGGAGCAGGAGGAGCAGGAGGCGGAGGAGGAGGAGGTAATGGTCCAAATTCCGCTTCCTCTACCGGATGGAAACCTTGCAATACGAACAACGGAACAGAACTTTGGGAGGCAAATCTGCGCAACGGAGGTCAACCTCAACAGCCACAACAGGTGCAGAAAGCACCATGGGGCCCAGCATCCAACATCGGAGGAACATGGGGCGAAGATGATGATTCGAGTGAAGCAAACGTTTGGAATGGTGGTGCGCCAGCTAATCAACAATCAGCGGCACCGCAAGCTTGGGGTCCGAATAATCCTGCTATGTGGCCGCCGGGAAATACTGGTGGGCCCAATCCGGCTTCAGTGAAGAAGGAAAACGAGTGGGGTGGAGTTGGAGTCATTGGTGGTAATACTGGTACTGCAGCAGCCGTTCCATCTACCGCTTCCGGGTGGGATGCAAGGGGAGGAGCCGCCCCGGCCGTTAATATTCCAGGTCCGATAGGACAAAATACACCGATGGAAGCAGCTCGGGATATTCGTGGAGATCCACGTGGCATTTCTGGCCGTCTAAATGGCAACGTCGGAATGTGGGATCAAGCTAATGTTCCAAACCTTCCTGCTGTTGCAAAAATTGCTCAGGGCCCTCTTCCTACAGCTGCCGGTGGCACTAATACCCAGTGGAATACACCTGTTCCTAACAAATTGCCAGGAACGTGGGACGATGTTTCCTCACCAATGAACACAAGACCATCGTTAGATGATGGTCAGGGAGGACTTTGGAATCAGGGTCCCTTGGCACGCCAAAATTCCAACGTATCCAATTGGAAAGATATGTCTGACAATGTACCACGTAATTCTGGGTCACGTGCTCCTGCTGGGAATATGCTCCTTGGTGGGCCTGTAGCTCGAGGCATGCGGTTGGGTGGAATGAACCCCGGAATGAAGCCAGACAGCAATATGTGGGGTCAAAATCAGGGACTGCCGATGAACAACGGTTCATGGGATGAAGGCAGTGGTGGTGGTGGTGGTGCTGGTGGCGGCGGCGGCGGCGGCGGCGGCGGGGGTGGTTGGGATGACAAAAATTTGGGCGCCAGTGGCCCTTGGAATGACTTTGGCCAGAATAATCTCTGGAACAAGGGAAAACAAGGTATCGGATGGCCTGACCCTAACGATATGATTGGCGGTGGTGGTGGTGCCGGAGGAGACTGGAACATGAACAAACCACCGAATAAGCTAAGTCCGGCTGACTTTATACGAAACAGTAAGCAGTACCGAATGCTTTGCGAAAATGGTTTCAAGAAGGATGATGTTGAGTGCGCTCTTCGTAACACCAATATGAATTTCGACGAATCATTGGACATATTGCAACGTCACAGTGCAGCAAGTGGGCTGGGTGGTGGCGACTGGAGGCGCCCGGACGATCATCCAGGCAGTGGTTTTGATCCTCCCTTTTCCAACCGATTCTCAGCGGGCCATGGATCGGGAATGCCATTTTCTCAGGTTTGTTTCGTCGGAATGTGATGGGCACAATTATTGGTTTAATCCTTTCATTCTCTTCCCCAGAGTCAGAATTTGCTGAATAATCTACCGGGAGTCGGTGGCGCTAATCCCAATCTGGCAGCATTGAATAATATTAAGTACCTGTCGCAAGGCCCGGTAGCACCTCATTCGTCGTACTCGCAAGGGCCAAACCCGTTGGCTGCAGTCGCCGCCGCAGGCAATCCACAAAACACCCAAGCACAACCCTCGACCCAACAGCTAAGGATGCTCGTTCAGCAGATACAGATGGCCGTACATGCCGGCTTTCTCAACCATCAGATATTGAATCAACCGCTCGCTCCGACTACTTTGCTGCTGCTAAACCAGCTGCTCAGTCAGATACGAGTAAGTAACCTAGCGGATAAATGTCTTCTAACCTTTCAGTATTCCACGATAAAATAAATTAAATCTACTGACTTTGAAACTCGCTCAACGTGAAACTCAACATGTTTCATGAAATTTAATATCCATGTCCAATAGGCCAAAACTTGAAGAATATTGTGGAAAACATCATGTTTCATGAAATGCCATCAAGGTGAAAATAACAAACTGTTGTATTTTGTGAGTGCTCGTGTTACAAAAGTTGGCGCGAGTACTGAGCAATTAATTTATTCTACAAGCTCGAGATTATGGGTATTAGGTACATCAAATCCCCCCACCCCCCCGAACGCTCCGAACGAGATTTTGCCTTCTTTTGATTGCTGCTCGTTTGTTTTTTTAGTTTTAGGGATAAGGGCGTTCGCGGCAGAGCATTTCTAGCTCAAATCGTTAAAAAAAATGTCAATTTTGTCTCGACCCCTTCTGATTTGAATGAAACATTGCTCACGTGTTCGCTGCTACTAATGGTTGCATTTTTCATTTAAATATGATTTTTTTCCTCCAGAGTAACTTTTGAAAAGGGCGTATAAAAAAATGGATTATTTTTTTTTCAAAAAATCATAACTTGAAAATTATTGATCTGATCAAAATGGAATATGAGAAAAAGTTTTAGGTAGTTAAATTATCTTTGCGAAAAAAAATACACTGAAAGAAAAACTTAGTAAATTATTATTTAAAAAACGTAAAACGATGATTATCTCAAAACACCCCCCCTTCGATCTTCATAATTTTTTTTTTCAAGAAAATTTATGGAATACCCTTAAATTTTGTGAAAAGTGTATGCTGGTAACTTCCTTAAAAAGAAATCTATAATTTTTTAAATTTTTGTTGATTTTTACAAGTTGATGAAAATGCATATTTTTTTGAAAAATAATAATTTATTTGGATTCTACGCATAATTTTCAATAACTTTGCATTTAAAAACTTTTTTCCTAAGTCCAGCCGTTCTCAAGTTAATGCGAATTAAAAAAAATATAATTATAACAATTTTCAACATTTTAGGCCATTTTCAAATGTTCGTCGAGATGTCTAGCAACGAGATTTTATTTCATGATTGTATATTAAAAAACAAACAATTCATTCTCAGATATGGTAGCTGTCAGACTTACCCGTTTCTATCTAGAGGCAGCGGAAGAGAAGCACGTTGATGTGGTCAAATGAAAGATTTGTTGAGATAAAAAACAGTATATATTTATTATTTTATTTTACAACTCATATTATTTGAATACATTGAATAATTTGGGTGTATCGTTTGAATTAGAGAATATTTTTACTGCAATTTGGTTGTTTGAAACTGGAATATAGCAATGATATTTTCGAGTTCCAGGAATTGGTTTCACTTTCTTAAAAATTGGATCAAATTCCGTGTCAGCCTTTTTGTATTCTTCCGTAGAAACATAACAAAATGACATTTTTGTTTGAAGATCTTCTTTACGACTATTTGCCCAGTTGTTTAGGGTTCGTTATAGGGTGCTCGTGTTGCTTAGCTAAACTTGCTCTGGTTGCCATTCTCTTAAGGGTACCGCCAATCGCATCACAAGGACCTTTGCCGTGTGAAGTTGCAAAAAAATGCCATTCAATTTCTACATCTACATCTACATCTGACATAAAAATACACTTTTGGACTGTTATTTGCAACTTTAAAAATTCTAATAATTTTGAGATACACAACTGAACTGCTACGTGTCATGCTTTGAAATTGATTTAGGTAGAGGTTTACAACACTTGAAATTGTTATCCATCGTAAAAAACTACTTGCTTTTTAACTTGAAACGCTAAGAGAGATGAACTGAATGGAACAGGTGAAGATCGTCCCAATATATATATATATATGTAGCAGAATAATTACAATGTTGACATTATACCTATCTTCATTAGGTACAATTGATTATAGCAAACTTTTTTAGGTGTGAGTGTAAGAAGCCTCCACGGAGTGCTTTTTTTATGTAGTTGTGATATCGCGGGATGAGCTCTTAAGGCACAATATGGTTTACGTCAGAGAAGTACCTAGATAATTTACCTCAATTACAGGTTTAATAACATATTTGTTTACCTGTTTATGTTTTGAGCCTCTGTTATGACATACACAATTCTATCCAGGTAAACAACTAATAGAGGACAGAAAAAAGGCACATGAGTGGGTTTGTTGATTATTTGGGTATATTTGAGAGTATTTACTTATAAACTTGTTTCTTTTCCGCTGCGTCTAAATAGAAACGGGTAAGTCTGACAGCTACCATATTTGAGAATGAATTGTCTGTTTTTAAATATATATTCATGGAAAAACATCTCGTTGCTGGACATCACGACTAACATTTGAAAATGGCCCAAAATGTAGAAAATTATCATAATTATTTTTTTTAAATTGCATTAACTTGAGAACAGCTGGACTTAGGAAAAAAGTTTCTTTATACAAAGTTTTTGAAAATTATGCGTAAAATCCAAATAAATTACTATTTTACTAAAAAATATGCAATTCCACCAACTTGTAAAAACCAACAAAAATTTCAAAAATTATAAATTTTTTTTTAAGAAAATTACCAGCATACACTCTTTACCAAATATTAGGGCATTTTTTCAGTTTTCTTGAAAAAAAAAATTATGAAGATCGAAGGGGGGGTGTTTTGAGATAATCATCATTTTACGTTTTTTAAATACTAATTTACTAAGTTTTTCTTTCAGTGTATTTTTTTCCGCAAAGATAATTTAACTACCTAAAAATTTTTCTCATATGCCATTTTGATCAGATCAACAATTTTCAAGTTACGATTTTTTGAAAAAAAAAATAATCAATTTTTTTATACGCCCTTTTCAAAAGTTACTCTGGAGAAAAAAATCTAATTTAAATGAAAAATTCAACCATTAGTAGCAGCGAACACGTGAGAAATGTTTCATTCAAATCGGAAACACTCATGACCAACCGGTTTGCGTTTTGGGCTGGAAATGCTCGGCAACGACATTTGTTTATTGTTTATTGAAAAATTCAACTGACAATTACTGTCTAAATGAATAAAACTTAAACTAAATAGTTACGGTCAACGGTACGGAAAAGGCCAAGTAGCCGATGACGAAACACGTCAGCTGATACATTGAAGTCGAACATATAAAAAAAGTTGTTGAATTGCCGGCTGATTGCTCGAATTGGCTCGTGTTGTGTATAATTCCGGCTCCGTGGTTCCAAAAACAGAAAGTCGCGTTGACGAAGAGACCTCTCAGGGGCATACATATTTAGCTGTGACAGCAGTGTTGGGCAGTCAATGTCACCTGTAAGCAGCATTCCAGCGAACATAGCTTGAGCGACCGTCCGTCTCACCTCTAAAGGCTCGATTCCCAGGAGACGGCAACGCTCCTCGTACGGTGGCAAGTTCGTTGGGTCACGCCAGTTGAGGAAACGAAGAGCATATCTCATAAACTTGCGTTGAACGGATTCAATTCTAGTGATCCAGCTAGCATGGAAAGGGCACCAAACAACTGAACTTGACTCCAATAAGGATCGCACAAGCGAGCAGTAAAGTGACCTGAGACATAGCGGGTCACGAAACTCGTCGGCAATTTTGAAAATAAACCCCAATTGTCGATTAGCTCTGGAGATGATGTCATTGTAGTGGATTCTGAAAGTGAGTGTGCAGTCCAAGGTAACGCCGAGATCCTTTATGTGCTCTACACGAGCGAGACAGCGTCCGTAGAGAACATAGTCAAACATGATTGGTTCGATTTTTCGGTGATAGGAAATAATGTTACATTTTTCTATGCTTAGACTCATCAAATTTCTTGAGCACCAGTCAATAAAAATACCTAACATATTCTGGAGATCCCAGCAGTCCGAGAGGCTTTTAATAATTTTGTAGATTTTCGTATCGTCTGCATAGAAAACGCGGCATCCTGATGGTATCAGCAAGGCGACATCGTTTAAAAAGATCGAAAATAGTAGCGGTCCTAGGTTACTGCCTTGCGGGACTCCCGAGTTGTTTGAGAAAACATCCGATTCCGACGCGCCAATCTTGACATGTACATAGCGATTCACCAAGTAAGATCTGAACCAATCCACAGCAGTTGGCATTGAGGCATGTAGGTAGCACAATCTAAAATGACTATGACATCAACCCGATATTAGTTTTGTTCACCTTTCATGCGGGATGCCTAATTCTGCGCACTATCTTTCGTAAGTTTCCTATTCTGCGCAGTTTTGTTCCTAATTCTGCGCACCTAAAAAATATCAATAAATGTTTGAAACATGTTGTTTATTTCGAGTACACAACAAAAGAAGCATTAAATAATTTCTACGATATATTTGATAATTCGGTCTTCGGCCTGATTAGTCAAACCGGATCACCTTCTCAGGTGATTTCGTTCCGAGCTGAAATCAATACCAGCTTCAATTGTCCCACAAAGTGTACCTCTTAGAAACTCCTGTACTACGGTTAAAAAAAAATATTTCCACGTAAAAGTTACGTGATTTGGTTGATGGTTTTCACAGTGGTTTTAAGTACCAATTAATTCGAAGCCCTGCAATACTCAGCTTTCTATGTTGTGAATCATAATCTCCTAATATTCAAATATCTTTCATTTATTGTCTAATTTCGAACATACAAATCAAAGGTGAAGTGATGTAAACACTATCTGCATATGATGTAGTTTGAATTACAATCGATAAAAGACCTTAAATGTCACATTATAATTTTGAAAGTCGTTTAAATTACTACACGTGTGCCCTTGTGTTTTTTCAGCAAATGCAGCACATTCAAAACAACCTCGCTAGAAGTGGTGGTGCAACTGGGGTCAGCACCGTGCAGCTAACAATGCAAATTAACAAACACAAGGCACAGATCACTACGCTTCAACAGCAAATAGCAGCACAGCAAGCAATTTACGTTAAGCAACAACAGCATCCACAACAACAACATCAGCCTAGTGGTCCCCACCAGCAGCCCGGTCCCGGTCTCGGTGGAGCTGACTTCTTACGCCAACAGGATCTGGTATCGCTACAAAGCAACTTCGCCGATATGGCTCTGGGAAAAGACCCAGTGACCCTCAGTGGTGGGTTCCCTGCTAATGCCGCAGCAGCAGCAGCTGCCGCGGCCGCTGCTGCCGTCAATAGTAGTGCTGGCGGTGGAACTGTGAACGCTGGAATTGCTGCCGGTACCGCTGGTGTTACTAGTCAACAGTCTCGACTGAACCAGTGGAAACTGCCATCGCTCGATAAGGAAAGCGGTGCCGGTGGTGCTAATGATCTCACCGATTTTTCCCGTGCTCCGGGCACGACTGCAAAATCGACATTATCTACTACGAGTTCCAACATGGGCTCTCTAGGTCTGCAAGAAGGGTAAGTTGCTGATAAATCTTACATTGTTGCGTTCTCCCATGTCTTAAATTTGGTCCATATTTCAGAACGTGGTCCTCAGGACGCTCCCACATGGCAGACGGTTGGCCTGATCAGAATTCCGCAACCAGTGATTCGGAACCCAAGGACTGGAATTCGCCACAGGATAATGCGGGCTTTTCCGACCTTGTACCGGAATTTGAACCAGGCAAACCGTGGAAGGTAAAGGTGATCGCATTGCGTTTTCGGAACGCGTTTTCCATTTACCCTTGTAGGACAGAGTATTACATAGCTTACTTTATCTTCCTGAACCAGGGTGCACAGATGAAAATTGATGAAGATCCCAGTATTACGCCGGGTAGTGTAGCTCGAAGCCCATTGTCGATTGCAACGGCCAAGGAGGCAGATTTGTTCGGTGCAGGAGGTAAAACTTCGCCAACAGATTCGATGGGTCTAGCGTCTTCCACCTGGGGTTTCAATCCATCACACCCATCTGGAGGAGCTGCTGGCAAGATGGTTGGCAGTGCTGGTAAAAATCCTTGGCCGGAAAACATCACATCCACTACCACTAGCAGTAGTTCTGATCTCTGGGGAACACCGGTGGGAAAGACTACGCGTGGTCCACCACCGGGTCTGGGTGCTAATAAAAATGTGTCATCCGCTGCTAATGGCTGGACCGGTAGCAGTGGTGCTCAACGCTCTGGGTCAGGCAACAATTGGTCAAGCGGAGCTGGATGGGGATCTCCGTGGCTTCTGTTGAAAAATCTCACTTCACAGGTAAGCGATCGGCACTCAATAAGACTATCGTGTATAGATCTAAAAGCATTCTACTTTTCCTGACTACAGATTGATGGTGCCACACTTCGAACACTCTGCATGCAGCATGGGCCATTGCAAAGTCTGCAGCTCTACGCCAACCATGGTTTGGCACTGATCAAATACTCTACACGCGAGGAAGCAAGCAAGGCTCAACAGGCACTCAACAACTGTCCACTCGGTAGCAGTACCATCGGTGCGGAATGTCCCAGCGATGCCGAGGTACAGGCCTATTTGCAACAGCTGGGAGCGCCAGCTGGAAACATTACTAGCAGCGCAATGGTTGCACCACCTAACAGCAGTGGGGGCGTAACCAGCGTAGCGCAATCCTGGCGCCAAGCTCCAAGAACTAGCAGTAAGTCTTGCGTGCTAGAAACGAAAATCGATCGAATTTGGTTCTAATGCTATCGTACTTTAATTTATTGCTTTACAGGCTCAGACACTTGGGGCTCCGGGTGGCCACCGTCGAACACGGGAACTAACAGTATCCTGTGGGCGCCGCTAGAGGGAGCCACCGAACGAAGCACACCTTCCAATTTGAACTCATTTTTGCCAGAAAGTCTACTCGGAACCGAGCTGAACTAGACGAACCCTCTCCCACACAGTATGGTCTCGAGCACTATTAAGGCGTTGAAAGTCTGTTATTAACTTACTTATTCTTTTTTCTACAAGGTTGTGTTTTTTTACATATGTTTTAAAGTATGTATATTTATTGTTTTCTTTTTTGATGAAATAAAATTAAACAGGAACTATCGTCCCGACAAGTTGCTGAATTTCATTTTCGAACACTTTTTTTTTATCAATTAATTAAGAAAAAAAAACATAAACCAGTCATTGTGTCTGTACGGACGCTATCTGTAATATTAATGAAATGCTAAAACGAACATAAATGCAATTCACAATGGTGATTCTCAGTGTTTTATGATGAACTGTTACTGATTAGAGGAAATAAAAAAACAAGGAAACGCATACATAGATCTGTTACTTTCGAGTCGCGACAATACATCTAAGGTGGGGCAGTTTAAACGGGGAAGAAAGCGCATTTTGTCGACTACTGAAGAGAAGACCGATTGCAACATCATTTTTATAAAAGAAAATGTTTTAACCTTCTTAGCTGAAAAATAAACAATATGAAAGCATACAATTTGCAGTGGATAAACAAAATGAGACATAAATCTAGTATTACTGAAATAAGAAAAAAATAGCTGTCTAAGTCAGTTTTTTTTAGATTTTAAGACAAGTAGTGGTAATGCAAACCAGAGATATAGAAATTTGAGGTATATGAGAAAATTTAAACTATATTTATTAATTTTAATATACATCAAGGCGAGAACATTAAATTTACTGTATATGAAGAATATACATAAATGTTATTATTGAATTATTTTTGAAATTATTTAGACATCTGAATAAACGAGTATGAGTAAAAAAAAAAAACCGGACGTCTTCCTATTTCATCTAGTAAAAGTAATGAACGATTTGGAATCGAAATGGGCAAGATCAATCTTTTAGGTTCGATTAATCGGTTTTCAGCTGAATCGATCCTGTTCATTCGTTTTTTTTTTGTTTCGATTTATCCATTTATAACCATTTAACCTACAACCTACCTTTAAAATTGAAATGGGCGATAGTTGTCTTACTTGTAAAATTTGTAAAGGTAAATTGTTGTATTTGAAATTTGTGACATGAGATATTGTCTTAAAAACAATATTCAACACTCGCCGATTCTCGCATATCCGTCCCAAATTATAAAATTATAATAAATATTATTCATAACTTTTGAGTTAACATCATGTATGGTGCTTATTTTTATCGAACTAAAAATTACACTGAATGACAATTTGACAAAATGGATTATACGACTTTCCTCGAAATACGGTTGCCCAAATGAACTATAATAAAAAAACTTTTTTATTAACTCAATTGAGCAGATCATGAAATAAAATAAGTTGCCAATACATCCACAAAATCAGTCGTAAAGGAAAAATTACAATAGTCTATTAAAATATTTGCAATGAGAATGAAGAAAGACCCGTGATTTTCAGAAGGGGAAATTTGTTTGTTGAGTAAATTTTCTCATCTTTGTATATAGCTCGTTTTTTAACGGACTGCTAAATACAAATTTAATTTTGGTTAGGAAGGTGTAAAACGCTAGTGCTTCCGTATGCTTTAAACGATTAATTCTTGGTTGGGGGCTGTTCATAAACTACGTGGACAGTTTTTTGGTATTCTTGACCCCCCCTCCCCCTGCGTAGACAATTGTCCATGCAAAATTTTTTAAATTTGTATGGCCGTGGATAATTGTCACAGTTTATGAACAGCCCCTTGTTAATAGAACTTCCATGATGAAATCGGCTGCTTCATGCAGACTGAGGAATTCTGATTATAGTATCAGCGTTGTTCTGTATGCAGACGAACTGCGAGGGCTTATTATAAACTTCTCACCAATAAAATAGTGATCTTCTAGTAAAAATGTTACATAACATTTTATTAAAATTTTATTTTATTTTTGCATATTATTTTTAGTCAATTAGCATACGATACAAGAGATTTAATATTCGATTTCGCGAGGAGCTCGGATAACTTTTGCTTACTGAGTAGAAGATCGTGGGTTTATTCCTACCCAACTATCCAACACTGTAGCATCTATGGAGGCGTCGGTGAGTCGCTGGCCTTCTGTTAAGTAGATGTTACATCAACATTATCCTTCCTTTCCCCGTAACGGAGAAGATGGGCGTGGCCAGCAATGGTAATTGTCATGCTTTTCCTATTATGAATTCTGATTGGAGAGCTGTTCATTCCCAAATAGTTTTCATCAAGCAATTTAGAATAAGAAAGTTAAAGTACACTCAAAAAATAAATCACATTTCCAATGGAAAATATCCATAAGAATTTCATAAACTTTCATGTGATCTCATAATTGGGAATCGAACTACAAAATCACATGAACCTTATGTGTCCAATGAAATTTATGTGATTTATCACATAGAATTCATGTGATCATATAAATGTTATGTGAATTTCAGATAAAAATCATTAATTTTGTTATTGGAAAAATATCATATGCGTTCCCAATGGAAACTATATGAAAACTTTTTTCGGTGTAGATACATGACAGTTGCCAGTATGCAACCTACACGGTAACCAGCGTAAACACATTACTCATAAAATGTGTAAACTGCGTTTACACATTTATGTGTAAACCCATCAAACGTCAATAGATGTGTACACAGCAAAAAAAAATGTAATATCGATCAATGTAATTCAAGCTGATGCATGAAATAATGATGTAATAGCAAAAAGCAGATACAATATTACATCAATGGATGTAATTTTGTTCGCAAAATCGATGTACATCGTACAACGTTATATTACACAACCGATGGATTGACCTGGTTGCAGCAGTTTGGATGTAATATTCAACAACTTTTTTTTCTGTGTATTCTTTACACATTTTTCAAGAACGGTTTTTACTGCAGAATGTGTAAAAAGTAATCATTCAAAGAATTTAAATATGATAAGGACACATGGTTTTTTATTAATATCGGAGTTTTCTTATTTGTGTCAAGGATTAAATAAAAATAGATCGGATTCAATAATATTTTATTAAAAAAATCGCAGCCAGACACCGGACAATGAAAACCTTAATGTTTATTTTTCCTTTCTAGGACTTAGCTATAAAAATAATATAAATTACTTACCCTCTAGCTTGTCCACCGTTGCTCTGTTACAGTTTGGACCGTAGTTTCTTATTTTTTTCTGTTAAAATTGCTGAAAGTTTTTCGCTTTGGCAAATGTCGTGCATCAACGAAGGAGGATGTGGCAAAATTTGAAGTTTTTTTTTACCCATTAATGAGTATACAAATACACATTTTTTTAATGGTACTACATTCTTAAAATGTGTATTTTTTTACACATTTTAAGATCTCCAAATTTACACATTTTTTGACAGCTGCATATAAATATAAAAAAATGTGTATTTTTTTACTCTTTTATGTGTTTACGCTGGTTACCGTGTACGAATTTCTCCGTTACAAATGCAACGCATAGCAGTATTGGTATCTTTGTTGTGTGAGCATATTAGTTGATAAAGGGGGAATATTGACCAGCCAAATTCAAGAACACAGAATTATAGTGTTGTCTATAAAAAATCGTTACTTGTATGTTAACTGCCGCTGAAGAAAAATAAATGAAAACAGCGCAACAAACAATAATTCATAGTCACAAATAAGCTAAAGGCCCAAACACAATGACAGCGGAAGCGGAACGGCAGCAGCAGCGGAAAAGCCCGATCTGAGTAAGCCTACTTGTCGGATTGAAAACTAGCTAGAATCAAATCGACTTCGGTTAAAGGGTGTCCACGATGAAATTGCCACACACAAAATTGATTCGCAAAATTCGAGTTTTCATCCGATTGCCATCAAATTTTCAGGGATTGAGAAATAACTATTAAACTTCATTTTACCATTTTACTCGTATTTTATTTACAGTCCATACGCAAATGCCCGCACCTTGGCCTTAACCCCGGCCATAAGATTCTGCACAACCTGTGAATCAACCGTTTTTTGCATGTAAACCCATACTTTCTCCAGTTCCTCGACTGTCTTCACTACCTTAGGTCGTTTAAGAAGGTGCTGCTTCATAATCGCCCAGTACTTCTCGATGGGGCGGAGCTCCGGAGTGTTGGGAGGGTTGAACATTTTCGGCACGAAATTGACCTTATTGTCCGCATACCACTTCAGCACGTCCTTGGAGTAGTGGCATGAGGCCAAATCCGGCCAGAAGATTGTTGGGACGTTGTGGGCCTTCAGGAGAGGAAGCAGCCGCTTCTGGAGGCACTCTTTTATGTACACCTGTCCGTTCATCGTGTCCTGGGTCACGAAAGGTGCACTCCGCTTCCCGCACGTGCAGATGGCTTGCCAAACCAGGAATTTCTTCGCAAATTTGGACATCTTCTGAGTGCGGACATGCTCCGGAACGCTGAACTTATCCTTGGCCGTGAAAAACAGGTTGCCGGGGATCTGTTTGAAGTCGGCCTTCACATATGTTTCGTCGTCCATGATGCAGCATTCAACTTTCGTCAGCATGTTGAGGTACAACTTCCTGGCACGGGTTTTGGCGGACTTGTTCTGCTTCTCGTCGCGATTAGGGGCCTTTTGTACCTTGAACGTTCGAAGCCCAGCCTTAGTTTTGGCCTTCTGGACAAAACTTCGGCTTAGGTGCAGCTTCTTAGCCACATCCCTAACGGAGGCGTTCGGATTTCGGTTGAAGGCCCCAACTACGCGGTTGTGATTTTTGGTGTTGTACGGAATACTTTTTCCTTCACTTCTGGGCTTCCGATCGGTGGTCAACCGATCCTCGAACCGCTAATCACTCGCGACACCGTGGAATTCGCGATTCCCAACGTTTTAGCGATGGAACGATGCGAGAGATCCTTGTTCTCGTTCCCATTTCCACGAGTTTTGATCACAGGACTTTAAAACTTGCAGGATGTAAATAATGCACTATGAACTAAATCCACCCAAATTTTCATTAAATTCTACCCAACGGTTAAAAAGTTAGAGCAATTTCATAGTGTGGCAATTTCATCGTGGACACCCTTTAGGCATCTTGATGTTATTTGTGACAACTGTCAAACTTTCCGTTTCCGTCCACATTGCGTTTGGGCCTTTAATAAATGCCGTATTACAGTGTACAATGCTGAAAAAAAACGGGTTGTCGGATTATATGCTGAAAAAAGCTCATTGAGATCGATAGATGCACCTATATTCCGCTGTTTGCGATCGATTAATTTACTTATTAAAAGCTTTCTAAGCGTTGGTTCTTTTTCGCCCCCGTATTGTCACCTCTTCTCTTAGCGTTAAATGCAAGAATGACAGCTGTAAAAAATCGAATACTTCATCATTTCTCTATAGTGATGGAGTAATACGACATGCACAAAACTAAAGATACGGGATATACTACAATATATCAAATTATTGGTCGCAGTGGTGTTAGGTCCCGAACAGAGGAAAATTAAAAGTCATGAATTCGAAAGAACTAGTAGTTCAGCTTATCGTGATTTTGACGTAGGACGTAGGATTTCTATACACTTTGT